GCTCTTGCCTGCATGGCCCAACCAATTCGCATGGAGCCATTCCTAGCTGGCACTAACTCTGACGTGGCCTAACTAACTGCACTGACCTGAGCTTTATTTCCACATGGATATTTTAGTCACAACAATACCCCCTCCTTCAAACAGTTCTTGCCCTCAAGAACTGAAATGAGGATATCGCTGTTGGAGATCAAACCAATACTCCCAAGTAGCATCCTCAGGGAAACTGTTACTCCACTGCACCAGCACCTGGGTCGCTGCAGTTCGACCCCTACGCACCAGTCTCCTATCCAAGATAGCCACAGGTTCCATGAGCAACTGACCTTGATCAGTGATACAAGTAGGGATGTGTGGTTGCACAGGTTGATCACCCACATGCTTCTTCAATAGAGAGACATGGAAGGTGGGGTGAAGCTTAACATCTGGGGAAGATGTAGCCTGTAGGCCACAGAACCCACCTTGTCCAATATCTGAAATGGCCCAAAATATCGTGGAGATAACTTCTGGCAAGAGTGACCCCTTAACGAATGTTGTCTATATGGTTGAAGCTTGACATACACCCAGTCCCCTTGCTCAAAAGTTCGTTCAGACCTGTGCTGATCAGCCTGTTGTTTCATTCGATGTTGAGCTCGATGCAGGTTATGTTTCAATAAGTGGAGAGCAGCTTCCCTTGCAGCCAAACTTCTGTCCACACTATCAACATGGGAGCTGCTTGGAATGTAAGGGACGTGCAAGGGGGGAGGTTGTCCATACACAATCTCATAGGGAGTACTCTTGATGGCCGAGTGAAAATTGGTATTATACCAGAATTCTGCCAGGGGCAACCAAAAACACCATTGTTTTGGTTGGTCACTACACATACACCTTAGATAGTGCTCCAAACACCTGTTAACCACCTCAGTCTGACCATCTGACTGAGGGTGATAAGCAGTAGACAAACATAACTGAACTTTCAACAATTGGAACAGCTCCTTCCAAAAATGACTGACGAAGATGGTGTCCCTATCACTCACTATGGTGCTAGGAAGGCCATGGAGCCTATAGATGTTGTCCAGGAACACTTGAGCAACTATCAGTGCCGTGTAAGGATGTTTGAGAGGAATAAAATGAGCATATTTGCTGAGTCTGTCGACCACCACAAGGACAGTGTCCTTACCATTAGATTTAGGCAATCCCTCCACAAAATCCATAGATATGTCCGACCATACTTTCTCAGGAATCTTCAATGGTTGGAGCAATCCAGGATATGCTACATTTTCAACCTTGTGCCTTTGGCAAGTATCACACGAAGCCACAAACTGTTCCACCTCCTTCTGCATATTCCTCCAGTACACCACCTCCTTGAGTTTCTTGTAGGTCACCTGTACTCCTGAGTGTCCCCAATAGGGGAGTCATGCCATAATTTGATGATTCTCTGCCTTAAGTCAGTATCATGCCCCACAACTAATTTCCCTTTCCTCCTCAATTGTTGATGCTGATAAGTGTAGTGTGTAAGCTGGTGATTGTACGTAGGATCTTGCAGTTGCTGTATCAGCAATTGCAGCTGGGGATCTTGAACACAGCTGTTATGGATCTCAGTAAGCAAAGCTGACTTAATGACTGAAATTGGAGCTAGTGTTGCTGCATCGGGGTTAGGCTGACGAGACAATGCATCAGCCACCACATTGTCTACCCCCTTCCTGTATTGAAGCTTGTAGTCATACCCCATAAGTTTCGCCACCCATTTCTGCTGCATAGGTGTAGACACTCTCTGTTCAATCAGATATTTAAGACTCTGATGATCAGTTCTGATGATAAAGTGTCTTCCTAACAGATAAGGTCTCCATTTCTGCACTGCACTCACAATGGCGAGCATCTCCTTCTCATACACAGAGAGGCCTCTGTGCTTAGTAGCCAAGCCTTGGCTGAAATAAGCTAATGGTCTCCCCTTCTGACACAGGACTGCCCCTATGCCCTCACTTGAGGCATCTGTCTCCACTTCAAATGTCTGTGAGAAGTCAGGTAATGCCAGCACAGGTGGGGAGCTCATGACCAACTTCAACCTGGAAAAAGCTTCTGTGGCTTGATCTGTCCAAGTGAAGTTGTTCTTTTTGAGTAGCTCTGTCAGAGGTTTAGCCAGTTTCCCAAAGTCCTTTATAAACCTCCTGTAGTATTCTGCTAACCCCAGAAATCCCCTTAATGCCTTGAGGGTTGAAGGAATAGGCCATTGCTGGATAGCTTGCACCTTTTGAGGGTCTGCCTGCACTCCCTGTCCTGAGATCACATGTCCCAAGTAAGCTACCTGCGTTTGGGCAAAAGAGCACTTGCTCTGCTTCACCTTCAAGCTATGGTGCCTCACAACCTGACAAAGATTAGCTGTTGGTCCCTCTGTTGCTGACTGCACAGGCACCAGGAAACATAGCTGAGCAGAAGCAATCTGCTCTGGTTTGTGTAGAATCCTCTGCATGGTCCTTCTTTTCACCAACTGTATAGCCTGCTGACCCTTGCCCTTAACACAACTCTCCTTTTACCACTGAGAAATTCCATCTTTAATTCCTCAAAGTTCCACTTGATATCACCTAGAGTTGATAGCCATTGCACCCCCAACACCAGATCACAGCCCCCCACCAGCAGTACCATGGCATCAGTCTTGAAGGTTTGGTTCTGCAACTTCCAAGTAAAACCAGCACACAATGTGTTAGTGGTGATCTTGTTGCCATCTGCTACTTCTACCACCAGAGGTGGTACTCTCTGCACTCTCAACCCCAATTTATTGACTAAATCTGGGTGGACAAAGTTGTGCGAACTCCCACAATCTATGAAAATGTTGACTGGGGTCTTTCCCACATGGCCAGTCACCCTCATTGTTCTAAAATTAGGAATAGCAGTTAAGGTCATGGCATTTAAGGAAATATAAGCCAAATTACCTTGTGAGACTTCACCCTCCTCCTCGGATTCCACCTCTACTTCCTCATCCTCCTCCTCTGTACACACTTCCAATCGAAATAATTGCCTGTTCTTGCATCTGTGGCCAACTCCAAATTTCTCATCACACCAGAAACAGAGGCCTTTTGCCCTCTTTTCATCCATCTCTGCGGATGACAACCTCCTAAATGGTTTCCTGGTGTATTCCTCTGCAGTTTTTCCACCTTTAGCCTGGTTAGGGGTGGGCAGAAGTGCCTTACCATCTCTCCCCCAATTTCGTTCAAAGCTGTTTTCCTTCCTCCAGGGAGTTTCAAAACTCTTGTCTCCTCTCCACCTATCTGTCATATTGGGATGGAAGCCTGGCCTGTTCACCCCCTTCTTCTGCTGAGCTAGAATCTTAGCTTCTTCCAGCTTAGCTAGTGTCCTAGCATGTTGTAGTGTTTTAGGCATGAACATCCTCACGGCTAATTGTATTTCTGTTTTTAGACCACTGAGGAAACAGCTGGTGGCATAATCTTCAGGCAGATCCACCCTGTTCAACAATTCCTCAAACTGCTCCTGGTACTCCAACACTGATCCTTCTTGTTTCAATGCCTTCAGCTCTCCCATCGGATCATCATACAAACAACCTCCAAACCTGGATGCCAACTCCTTGATGTATTCCTCCCAGGCAGGCAATTCCCTGGTGATGCGAGATCTCATGAAGATCTGGTGCCATTGGAGAGCTTTTCCCTCCAAGTTCATAGCAACCATTTTTACCTTCACATGATTAGGCGTCTCATCTACATCAAAAAATTGTTCAATCTTAAACAGCCATCCCTGGAAATCTTCTCCATGGAACCTGGGAAACTCCAAGCGAGAGAAACGCGTGGGGGCTTGATAACTCCTTCCTTGGGAAACTTCATTGTCAGAGGGAGAGTTCCTTGCGGATTCCCCCCTCTGAGAGTGCAACTCCAGTACCAGATTCCTGAGAGCTGCCATCTCCTGCTCGAATTGTTCCTTCTGCTCCTTCATCATGGCCTTGACGCTCTCCTCTAGCCTCCTGTTATCTTGAGATCTAGTACCTTCCGCCATTGTTACTTGAGCTGGTTTTACCCAGCTCTGATACCACTGATGCGTAAGGTAGTAAAAATCTCACTGATAAAGGCTCTCAATCAGGGATTGGAGAATGGGAAGCCAATCCGAGAAAGAGAGAATTGATGTATTGAGAATTAGGGAAAGGAATACAAGATGAAATACAATAGAAAGAAATATGATTCTGAACTGCCTCTTCCTCCTAGCTCCCCTGCTTTTATACCAATCATGCGCTGACCTTCCTTATTCGTATCCCAGCTGCTCAGCCGACTTTCCATTTTGGTAACCACCTAACAGAATCCAGTTGGCGTAACTAACTTGCATGGCTCTTGCCTGCATGGCCCAACCAATTCGCATGGAGCCATTCCTAGCTGGCACTAACTCTGACGTGGCCTAACTAACTGCACTGACCTGAGCTTTATTTCCACATGGATATTTTAGTCACAACAAAAGTTAAGTTACTCCTGCCTAGTACAATATTTTGCATCTTATACGACGTCGAAATTATGAACTCCCGGTCCCATAACTTGCTTGCCGCCACAAATGGTAAATTTGGCTGGTAAAAAGCCATTATTGCTGTTTTTAACTTGATTTGGTAAGTTGAAACAAAATTTTTTTAAAGAAAAAGATAAATACATCTATTATTAATCTTGAAGTTCTTGAAATCAAAAAAAGTGTTCAAGTTGTTTCTAATAGTTCATAATTGCGATGAAGTCAATAATATATTTATGTATGTATATAGTTCATAATTTGTGATGAAGTTAATAATACATATATATTTACATACATACATAGATATATACACCTTCAAGGAATAAAAACCAGGTACTATGATCAAGCAAAATTGGGTAAGATAACATGATTTACTGCTGCAACAATTTGTCTACATAGTAAATAGGAAGAGAAACAATACAGCAGAGGCACTGTAAACAATAAGAGTTCTAAATCTCCCTATACCTTTCCTGAATTGCTGTTTATGAGGATTTTTCTCTTTTCTTGATTTGGCCAGCTACCTTCTATATTTCCTATTTCCTACGTGATACAGCTACACAATCTGAGCACAGAAAATCTGAGGGTGCATCCTCCTTATCAGCAATGCCACTGCACCTTGTATGCTGAGACACATTGCACACTTCACAAGTTGCCAGTCTCTCCCCATCATCATATTTAGCCCCGCAGCAGCAATCCACAGTCAACCTTTGAGCTCCATCTTCATATCTCAGTGTTGTTCCCAAGTCCAGCCCCGAACCCCTCACCCAAACGGGACTACTGGGCTCAATGCTATGACAAACCACCTTATTTTCATCTATTTTCTTCAGGCCTCCAATTTGACTCGCTACAAATTTGTCCATAATGCAATATGTATCCCTGAATGCAGCTTGAGCAACAACTTTCAGTTCACCTATGGTACTAGAAAGAGGTACAGCAACAACTACAGCTGGTGATAAAGGCCTCATCAGTTCTGTCTCTAACTCATCAAAACTAGGAAGGAATAGGCATGATAGTGCAATTAATGGATCCAAATTATGTTCCTTAAAACACCATTCTTTCACAAAATACTTGGAATCCATGATAGCCTTAGTTGCCAAACTTAATGGATGAGTATCTCTGTAACCAAATAGCACACTCCTGTACAAGTACAGAGCATCCTCAGCCACACTGCATTCCATAGTGTCATTCTGTGCATCTTTAATCAAGCTTTGAATTGGGAGTTCAAACTTTTTGGTTGATGGTTTTTTTGTTCGAGAAATGCTTTGGTTTCTAATCATGGGATTATCCATTGAATGTACCACACAATCAATCGGCTGAGTTTCACCCAAGCACTCCCTAGCCTTGTCCTGCAACTCTCTCCATGGCATGGTATTCTCCTCATCGCTATTTTCTGTCAAAATATTGGCAGTTACCTCTGATGCATGCTCTACTCTTTTTCAGGCCACTGGCAATCTGGTTCAGCCTCTTCAAGAACTTCTTGAATGCTAAATTCGAATCTTCTGGTAGATGAATTAAGTGAACGACGAACAACATAATTGCCTATTGCAAAGCAGTTGACAGATTTGAGCACAAAATCAATCAAACCTGTATCTCCAACACATTTTCGTAGCTCTTCACGCATTTCATACCTGGAAACCCCATAATTTCCATCACAACCCCCCTTATTTTGTTTCAGCAGATTCACAATTTGCTTTAGCACATGCTCAACCCTCCTTGCTGGCCACCTACAGCTGTTAGCTATTGAAGTCACAAGTGCATCAAAACTTGTTGGCTCTTCATTGTCCCTCCTCTTTAAAACATGTTGGCAACTACTTTTAACCACTTTGTTCTCTATTTTTCCCTGTACTCGAGCTCGCCCTCCAAATCCAAGCATGAACTTCAACAAATCACTTAAGGTAATCAATGGAATATCCGCCACGCCTCTATACTTATTGATAATCTGCTTAATTCTTCCTCCTTTGCTTTTATTCTTGAAATCAGAAATAATCTTATCAAGGTTTAATGACCTCAGATACTCAACTGCCGACTCATACTTTCCCTTCCTAACTCCAAAAGTTCATGGCTAAATTTGTAGCCCACTTACCGTACCAACTCTGCCCATATCCAACAACATACAACAATCTCAGATTTATTTCATCCCGCACTGAAACTTTCCTGCAAGCATCACCTCAATGTCTCAGATTCATCACCCACAAAAATTACTGTAAAATACACATTGAAACCACAAAAGAAACATTCTGAAACATCACCTGGTGCAAAGTGTTGAGCAAATTCGATCCCATATGTTCATAGCATCAGTTTCACTGAGAAAATTGGATGGCGCTTTGACTCCATTGATGCAAATCAGATGTCCATACCCGTTGCAATGGATCAAACCGTACAAAATATGAGTTCGAACATCCAAGAAGTTGTCCTTCAATGGCTTTTTCCAATAATCAACTTCAGGAATAATCAGATGATACTTTCTTTAGATACAAAATGATGACCCCATCCTACAAAGCATGATCAGAAATTCAAAAATTCAAATGTCCCTTTTCAAATTAACCAAACCATCAAGAAAATGAACAAGAACTCCCCAAATTCAACAAGCCAATCAAGAATATCACAATCCATCCAGAAAATTTGAAAAACAGTTAAATTAAGTAAAACCCAAGATTTTAAACAGTAAAAAAAAAAAAGAAAAGCGTAACAAAACTTGCCACTGAATTTGCAGTAATCGCAGAACGGGTCAAGAGATTGCTCAACGGTTTCTTCAAAGGTGTAGAAGAAAAAACGATGCCCTTTTTTTCGTTGATCAGCAGAGTGGACCATGAAGCCATACCGGGAACTGCATTATCTTCAAATTTTTCTGCAAATTCTTGAAGAAACAAACGGATATTTTCTCTAAATGGACCATAATTAAGATTCTTAAATGAGCCCATAATTGGAAAACTGTCAAATGGAAAGGGGATTTTAGGGTTTTTTCTTCTCATTCTTTTACAGGCTTCAAAAATATTGTTAGCCATTGCAGAAGAAAAGCAGAAAACTGCAAAACCAACTCAAGTGTCTGGTTTTTCAAATTCTTGAGAGGAAAAGAAGCTTAAAGAATCATGGGAGTGGCAGTGAAATTACAAATGTAGCCTCTTGGTGGCGGGAATTAGTGCATTCATTTGATGCAATTGGAGTAATACCAATCTTGAGGGTAATTGTAATTTGGTTTGTTTTTGTTTTTTGAATTTTACTTTTTAATTTTTCCAGTCACATGGTTTGAGAATCATGTTTATGGTATGAACTATGAAGCAAATTTCACTTTAGTGACTTTTTAAAAAAATTTTCACTTTTTTACCGCTGAGAACCATTAATCCCTCTTTTTTGAACTATTGGAAAAGGGATAACTTTGGTTTTACCTTAGCAATTGAGTTCCCAAATTTCTCTACAAGCTTGCCTTAAAAACTTGCCTGGAAGGAAAAATGATTTGTATTTGATTGCCAGCAATTATGTTAATTATGTGTCATATTGTAATTCATCAAATTTTAGACTTAGGAGGTAAGGTCTTTTGGTCCACTCCATCAGGTACTCAAAATGGTGAAACAAATGATCTTATTTTATAAATTAGAAAAGAAATGTTATCTTGTTTAAAAAAAAAAAGTAATTAATGAAGTTTAGCTGTTAATTAATTTGTAGGTTGATTATTATTAGCATTTCTCAGTCTATTAATGCCAAGTTGAACATGGGCAATTGCTATTAAAAAAACAATTAAGCATGGTGACTTGTTTCAGCCTCATATCAGTTAAATAGGTAAGAGCTAGTTAAATAGTCGTAACAGATTTACTAATACTAGTGTTTTGACCCGTGCTATGCACGGGATTATATTTCAAATCAAAATGATATTCTATATATTTATATATATTATGGTACAGAATAATAAAAATATATATACTAAAAATTTTAAAGAAGTGATGCTTAATATTTTGGAAAAAAAATTAATCTATAATGATTTACATGATAAAAAATTGTTAACGCATTTAAGGAGAGGGTTAAGTTGGATGGTAAGGTGAGAAGAGTTTTCTTAAAAAAAATTAATTTATCAATATCTGACAAAACATATTATGTTATACTCATATATCAATACTCATAATATAAAAAAATAAATTATAACCAATTTATTTTCTTCCATTTTTAAAAAAAATCTCTTCTCCTATCTTGTGTCCCTATAATTGTTGAATGCATTTAGATTAGTATTTTTCATAAACTTTAACGTATATTTAAAAAAAAATCTCCGTAATACGTGTTTTTTAGAATTCTCAAAATTATTAAAAAATCACCATCATTTCTTTCTTTCCTTATCCGACACCTAGTCATAAGATACCTCTACGACTTTCATATCTTCTATCATGGTACCACTCTCTTATTATTTTTTTTTTGTCATTTCAGTCTATTCCTGCAATCCTCTTTCTTCCTCTCTCCCTTTTCTGCCCATTCTCGTAATCCATATTTTTTGTTTCAACCTTTCCTGCTACTTTTTAACTTCTCACTATTTTTCCCTCGTCCCCCCTATACCTAACCTCTAAATTCATATCCCTGCAACCCAATATATTTAACTTTACCTATCATAAATAATATAATTTTGAAAATTGATTACAATGGTTGCAATTATTAGTAATCTAATAATGGGAATGAAAAACTGATAATATCTATAATATCATCAAGTACTACAATCAATATATATATATATATATATATATATATATATATTTAACATAGCAAATACATAATTTACATATGAAGAGAGCAATAAGAATACATAAATAATTAATGATATCAAAGAAGTTATCCTTAGTGTTTGGGTTCTGCACTCTTATTCAAATCTAATGTTCAATTTGGGCCCAATAATTAAGTAGTATTTTAGGGCTGAATGTTCTTATCTTTCTCTTAAACTATAATGTTATTTTTTTTAAAATTTTGGTAGAATTGGTGTTGTTATTATCATTATTTTTATCAAAAATGAAATATTTCAAAAAAAAAATTCCACATTAAAAGGCTAGTAGTACTTTGTTTTTTATTTAGTGATTTCGTAATTAGGATTTCACGAATGGTACCATTCTTGATTTTTTAAATCCACAACATTATTTCATGAATATTTTTTATTTAATTTTACCCTTTTACTTAGAATTACTAAATTAAAAAATAAAATATTGTCATTTACTTTTTTTACTTTTTACTAAGTTTGGCAATGCTTTCTTTTTATTTACCCTCCCACTAATAGACTTCAAACCAAATTCCTATATAAGTGGAGTCACTACTTTTTTAAATTAGAAAGATATGGAAGCCACTTCTTACTTAAGAAAATATTATTTGCACTCTATTTTTTATTATTTGCAATTCCACTATTTGTTTTATCATATAGTATAATTAATTGAAAAATTATATAACCAAATGATTATTGAAAGTGTGAATAAAAAAAATGGAGTGTAAATAATCTTACTTATTTAAATTAGTAAGAAAGTATGAAAAGATGTTATATTTGTTATCTTTTCTTATGGTCTTATAGAGAGTTTTAATTGTTGTAGAATCATAAATACCGCAAGACAATCGGAAACGTGATGGGTTGAAGTTCAAATAGGATAACATATATATTAACCAACAATTTGAAATGAAATGATTTTAAAAGGTAACCAACAATTTCAAAAGTGAAGAGTAGATGTGGAAGTTGAAAGGAATATATTTTATAAATTAAATTAAAAGTGAAAATGCTAGAAAATGAAATTGATAGTGAGAAAATGCATGGAAACTTGTTGCTAAAAATCCCTTCTCAAATTTATATAAATATAGATTTCTAATTGGGTTGTGAAATGTTGATAAACAGAATCATAATCAGAAGTACAACAAAAAAAAAAATAGAAGCCCTTGAAAATCTATTAACAGATGTGGAAAAGGGTTGAAGAAATATGTGATAAGGATGAAGAAACAGGTGATAAGGAAGACAGCTGCAAGATACCAAAGATATACTCCTTGAAGGACTTAAAATCAAGCACTATTATCAAGCAAAATCAGGTGAGATAACATGATTTACTATTGCAGCAGTTTGTCTAACTTGGAAGAGAAACCATACAGCATTCATTCAAAATTGTCACAACATGTTACAGCAGAGGCAATGTGAACATCAAAAGTTGTAAACTCTCCCGGTACCTTTTCTATTTCAGTTACCTATAACTATACTATTATAAATATTCACTTGTTTTTTAGTTGACCATATTCATTTTTTTGTTCTACCTAGTCAGTGGAGTAGCTAGTGGAGTTGGTTAAATTAGTGGAATTAGTGGATAGCAAGTAGAGTTATTTTAAACTCTATAAATAGGCAGTTTCATGTTAGGAGTTGAGTATGAACTTTACAAAGAAATAAAGTCTAGTCCTTTGTTTCTCTTAATATTTTTCTCAATAATTGTATCAATGGCACTAGAGCCAGGTTCATGAGTGAAAACAAAAGTGAGTTGTGAGAATTGTATTGATAAGTCACAATGGCCACCTACATTTTTGTGTAGTTAGCAATTCCCTACTTTGATAGTCACTATAATCATTGGAGCATGCTAATGGAGAACTTCCTGAGGTCTAAGAAGTATTGGCAGGTTGTCGAATCTGGAATAGCAGTGCCAAAAACTGGACTAATATTGTTAGGGATGCAGAAAATGGAGTTGAAGCATTGAAACTGAAGGATTTTAAGGCCAAGAATCACCTTTTTCAAACTATTGACAGCCATCTTGGAGACAATTCTTAGCAAAGGTACCTTCAAATAGATTTGGGACTCCATGAAGAAGAAGTGTCTAGGAAATGCAAAGGCAAGGGGGTGTAGCTTCAAACTCTTCGGACCAAATTTGAGATTTTACGCATGAAATCAAGTTAGTTGGTCATAAATTATTTTGCAAGAACGATAGCAATCATTAAGAAGATGGGGATTTATGAAGAAAATTTGTAGAACGTCATCATTGTCGAGAAGATCCTTTGATCAATGATAGCAAAATTTAATTTTGTTATATACTCTATAGAGGAATCGAAAGATATTGATGCACTTTCAATTGATGAGTTGCAGAGCTCTTTATTAATTCATGAGCAAAAAATTAACCAGCAAGAGAAAAAGGAGCAAATATTGAAGGTTTCAACAAAAAGTCACCCAACATTGAGAGGATATAGGGGACAAGGCAAAGGCAAATGCAGAGGCAGAGGAAACAATGATCGTGGCAACCAACAATAATAACTCCAACACCAAGAAAATCAATTTTCGAAGTAAATTGATAGTAGTAATATAGTTTAAACTAGTAAAGTGATAATAACCCATATATATATATATATATATATTATATATATATATATATTTCAGACGACATATTTTTAGAAATGTAAAATTAATTAGAGAAAGTAAATAAATACAAGAAAAGGTAGGTAAGATTAATTAGAAAAATGTATATAAATGCAAGGAAGGGTAATGATCATTAGGATGTGAATATACATGGTAGGTTAGATTAGAAAAACCCTATATTTATTACATGTTTTTATATATATTAATATAAAAATTGAAAAAGTTTAATATAGAATATTATCTATTAATGAATATACTAGTCAATTTTTCCGTGACACTTTTTGACTAAACAAACACAAGAATTTATATTTTCTAACATCATTTTCTTGTTAATCAAACACATGTTAAAAAATTAGTTTTCTTTTCCTTTACCTCATTTCATTTCACTTTTTTTCACAGCGCACTTTTTTACAGGACTTTCCCTTCAAACACACTTTCAAATGCATCGCAATGGTACGTCACCGTTTTCTATTAGAAATTTCGGCCTACTGTGGGGAATGGCGTTACTAAATTTGTTCTAAATGTCGTTAATAATGTATATTTGATAAGACTATGAATTGTACTCGTGTGGCTCTTATTCCAAAAATA